TACAGTAGGGGGCACAGGTGGCGCATCAGCCAGTCATCTCGGTCATCTCGGTCAGTCGACCCGTGGCACCTGCTGGGTCTGCCCCGTGACTTCCTGCCAGCGGGCGTTCGACACTTCACGTGGCCTCAAGGTGCACATGGCCTGGCACAAGCGTCGTGGTGACGTCACCGCCACTTAGTGGCAAATGGCGGTTGTTGTTGTTGTGTGTTACTGTGTGTGTCACTGTGTGTGTTACTGTGTGTGTGTGTGTTATTGTGTGTCACTGTGTGTGTTACTGTGTGTGGTGTTACTGCTGCAATGATACACAAACACAAAGATCCCACGTATAGCCTGCGAGACTGTAGGGGCAAGTGCTGTTAGCGCGAACCCATGAAGGCCGACACGGCACACGAGGGGGTGGGTGGCCAGCGCCACGCCCGGCCGCCTTTGTCTCCCTAGTGGCGATGTTTATGCATCGCACCAGGTACTCATTTGAGGCTGAGTCGACCTAGGAGAGGCCCAGAACCGGTTCAGATAATCGTCACCAGTGTTGACCGTAGCGTAGTGCGCTAACCGTTGTACTACTGCTCCCTACATGCAACACATAACACCACACACACAACACACATGACACAATATACACACACTACACACACACTACACAAAACACACACACACACTACACACACACTACACACACGACACCACACACACTACACACACACCACACACACAACACACACACACAATTTCCCACACAACACACGCAACACTACACACACACACACTACACACAACACATTATAAAACACTACACACACAACACACGCCACACACACTATACACACACTACACGCCACACATAACACCGCTTATCCCGCTCCCCTCTCATCCCACGGACACCCCACCACTCACCACTCACCCTGCACACTCACCCTCCACTCACCACTCACCACACACTCACCACTCACCCTGCCCACTCACCACTCACCCTCCACTCACCACTCACCACACACTCACCACTCACCCTGCACACTCACCACTCACCCCGCCCACTCACCACTCACCCTGCACACTCACCCTCCACTCACCACTCACCACACACTCACCACTCACCACACACTCACCACTCACCCTGCCCACTCACCACTCACCCTGCACACTCACCCTGCACACTCACCCTCCACTCACCACTCACCACACACTCACCACTCACCACACACTCACCACTCACCCTGCCCACTCACCACTCACCCTGCACACTCACCACTCACCCTGCACACTCACCCTCCACTCACCACACACTCACCACTCACCCTCCACTCACCACTCACCACACACTCACCCTCCACTCACCACTCACCCAGCCCACTCACCACTCACCACACACTCACCACTCACCCTGCACCCTCACCCTCCGCTCACCACTCACCCTGCACACTCACCACTCACCACACACTCACCACTCACCCTGCACACTCACCCTCCGCTCACCACTCACCCCGCCCACTCCCCCTCCGCTCACCACTCACCCCGCCCACTCACCACTCACCCTGCACTCACCACTCACCCTCCGCTCACCACTCACCCTGCACATTCACCACTCACCCCGCCCACTCACCACTCACCACTCACCCTGCACACTCACCACTCACCCTGCACACTCACCACTCACCCTGCACACTCACCACTCACCCCGCCCACTCACCACTCACCCTGCACACTCACCCTCCACTCACCACACACTCACCACTCACCCTCCACTCACCACTCACCACACACTCACCACTCACCCTGCACACTCACCACTCACCCTGCCCACTCACCACTCACCACTCACCCTGCACACTCACCCTCCACTCACCACTCACCCTCCACTCACCACTCACCACACACTCACCACACACTCACCACTCACCCTGCACACTCACCACTCACCACTCACCCCGCCCACTCACCACTCACCCTCCACTCACCACTCACCACACACTCACCACTCACCACACACTCACCACTCACCACTCACCCCGCCCACTCACCACTCACCCTCCACTCACCACACACTCACCACTCACCCTGCACACTCACCACTCACCCTCCACTCACCACTCACCCTGCACACTCACCACTCACCCTGCACACTCACCACTCACCCTGCACTCACCACACACTCACCACTCACCCCACCCACTCACCACTCACCCTCCGCTAACCACTCACCCTGCACACTCACCACTCACCCTGCACACTCACCCTGCACACTCACCCTGCACACTCACCACTCACCACTCACCCTGCACACTCACCCTCCACTCACCACACACTCACCACTCACCCCACCCACTCACCACTCACCCTGCACACTCACCACTCACCCTGCACACTCACCACTCACCCTGCACACTCACCATTCACCCCACCCACTCACCACTCACCCTGCATACTCACCACTCACCCCACCCACTCACCACTCACCCTGCACACTAACCACTCACCCCACCCACTCACCACTCACCCTGCACACTCACCACTCACCCTGCACACTCACCACTCACCCTGCACACTCACCACTCACCCTGCACACTCACCACTCACCCTGCACACTCACCCTCCACTCACCACTCACCACACACTCACCACTCACCCCGCCCACTCACCACTCACCCCGCCCACTCACCCTGCACACTCACCCTCCACTCACCACTCACCACACACTCACCACTCACCACACACTCACCACTCACCCTGCACACTCACCACTCACCCTGCACACTCACCCTCCACTCACCACTCACCACACACTCACCACTCACCCTGCACACTCACCACTCACCCTGCACACTCACCCTCCACTCACCACTCACCACACACTCACCACTCCCCTGCACACTCACCCTCCACTCACCACACACTCACCACTCACCCTCCACTCACCACTCACCACACACTCACCACTCACCCTGCCCACTCACCCTCCACTCACCACTCACCACACACTCACCACTCACCCTGCTCACTCACCCTGCACACTCACCCTCCACTCACCACACACTCACCACTCACCCTGCCCACTCACCACACACTCACCACTCACCCTGCACTCACCACACACTCACCACTCACCCCACCCACTCACCACTCACCCTCCGCTAACCACTCACCCTGCACACTCACCACTCACCCTGCACACTCACCACTCACCACTCACCCTGCACACTCACCCTCCACTCACCACACACTCACCACTCACCCCACCCACTCACCACTCACCCTGCACACTCACCACTCACCCTGCACACTCACCCTCCACTCACCACTCACCACACACTCACCACTCACCCCACCACTCACCACTCACCCTCCGCTCACCACTCACCCTGCACACTCACCACTCACCGTGCACACTCACCACTCACCCTGCACACTCACCACTCACCCTGCACACTCACCACTCACCCTGCACACTCACCATTCACCCCACCCACTCACCACTCACCCTCCACTCACCACTCACCACACACTCACCACTCACCCCACCCACTCACCCTCCGCTAACCACTCACCCTGCACACTCACCACTCACCCTGCACACTCACCACTCACCCTGCACACTCACCACTCACCCTGCACACTCACCCTCCACTCACCACTCACCCTGCACACTCACCCTCCACTCACCACACACTCACCACTCACCCCACCCACTCACCACTCACCCTCCACTCACCACTCACCCTGCACACTCACCCTCCACTCACCACTCACCACACACTCACCACTCACCCCACCCACTCACCACTCACCCCGCCCACTCACCACTTACCCTGCACACTCACCACTCACCCTGCACACTCACCCTCCACTCACCACTCACCACACACTCACCACTCACCACACACTCACCACTCACCCTGCTAACTCACCACTCACCCTGCACACTCACCACTCACCCTGCACACTCACCACTCACTCACCACTCACCACTCACCCTCCACTCACCACTCACCCCGCCCACTCACCACTCACCCTGCACACTCACCCTCCGCTCACCCCACACTCACCCTGCACACTCACCACTCACCCTGCACACTCACCCTCCACTCACCACTCACCACACACTCACCCTGCCCACTCACCACTCACCCTGCCCACTCACCCTCCACTCACCACTCACCACACACTCACCACTCACCCTGCACACTCACCCTCCACTCACCACTCACCACACACTCACCCTGCACACTCACCACTCACCCTGCCCACTCACCACTCACCCTGCACACTCACCACTCACCCTGCCCACTCACCACTCACCCTGCACACTCACCACTCACCCTGCCCACTTACCACTCACCCTGCACACTCACCCTGCACACTCACCACTCACCCTCCGCTCACCCTGCACACTCACCACTCACCCTGCACACTCACCACTCACCACTCACCACTCACCCTGCACACTCACCACTCACCCTGCACACTCACCACTCACCCTCCACTCACCACTCACCACTCACCACACACTCACCACTCACCCTGCACACTCACCACTCACCCCGCCCACTCACCCTCCACTCACCACACACCCTGCACACTCACCACTCACCACACACTCACCACTCACCCTGCACACTCACCACTCACCCTGCACACTCACCACTCACCCTCCACTCACCACTCACCACACACTCACCACTCACCCTGCACACTCACCACTCACCCTGCACACTCACCACTCACCCTCCACTCACCACTCACCACACACTCACCACTCACCCTGCACACTCACCACTCACCCTGCACACTCACCACTCACCCTGCACACTCACCCTCCACTCACCACTCACCCTGCACACTCACCACTCACCCTGCACACTCACCACTCACCCTCCACTCACCACTCACCACACACTCACCACTCACCCCGCCCACTCACCACTCACCCTGCACACTCACCACTCACCCTGCACACTCACCACTCACCCTGCCCACTCACCACTCACCCTCCGCTCCCCACTCACCCTGCGCTCACCCCGCGAGGCTGCAGGGCGCGACACGTGGTGGTGGTGGTGGGGCTCGTGCGGGAGTCGCCGCCCGGCACCCCACGCGCTTCTCCCGCAGCCGCCGCTGAGTCCCCCCCCCCGTGGGGTCCCGTGGGGTCCCCTCGGCCCCCGCTCGCTCGACCCTGGCGGGACCCCCTTGGGGAAGAAGGGGGCCGCTGGGGAAGGAGGAGACGAGCCGCTGCTGCTGTTTGGTGATGGCGCAAAGCGGCGGCGTGGGGTGCAGGGTAGGCGGCGCTCGCGGGCGGTGGTGGTGGGAGGTAGTGGGGGTGGTGGTGGTGGTGGGAGGTAGTGGGGGTGGTGGTGATGGTGGTGGTGGGAGGTAGTGGGGGTGGTGGTGGTGGTGATGGTGGTGGTGGGAGGTAGTGGGGGTGGTGGTGATGGTGGTGGTGGGAGGTAGTGGGGGTGGTGGTGGTGATGGCGGTGGTGATGGGAGGTAGTGGGGGTGGTGGTGATGGTGGTGGTGGGAGGTAGTGGGGGTGGTGGTGGTGATGGCGGTGGTGATGGGAGGTAGTGGGGGTGGTGGTGATGGTGGTGGTGGGAGGTAGTGGGGGTGGTGGTGGTGATGGCGGTGGTGATGGGAGGTAGTGGGGATGGTGGTGATGGGAGGTAGTGGGGGTGGTGGTGGTGATGGCGGTGGTGATGGGAGGTAGTGGGGGTGGTGGTGATGGTGGTGGTGGGAGGTAGTGGGGGTGGTGGTGGTGATGGCGGTGGTGATGGGAGGTAGTGGGGGTGGTGGTGATGGTGGTGATGGGAGGTAGTGGGGGTGGTGGTGGTGGTGATGGTGGTGGGAGGTAGTGGGGGTGGTGGTGATGGTGGTGATGATGGTGGTGGGAGGTAGTGGGGGTGGTGGTGATGGTGGTGGTGGTGGGAGGTAGTGGGGGTGGTGGTGATGGTGGTGATGGGAGGTAGTGGGGGTGGTGGTGGTGGTGATGGTGGTGGTGGTGGGAGGTAGTGGGGGTGGTGGTGATGGTGGTGATGATGGTGGTGGGAGGTAGTGGGGGTGGTGGTGGTGGTGGGAGGTAGTGGGGGTGGTGGTGATGGTGGTGATGATGGTGGTGGTGGTGGGAGGTAGTGGGGGTGGTGGTGGGAGGTGGTGATGGTGGTGATGATGGTGGTGGTGGGAGGTAGTGGGGGTGGTGGTGATGGGAGGTGGTGATGGTGGTGATGGATGGTGGTGGTGATGGGAGGTAGTGGGGGTGGTGGTGATGGTGGTGATGGTATGTAGTGATGGTGGTGATGATGGGTGGTAGTGATGGTGGTGGTGATGGGAGATGGTGATGATGGTGGTGATGGTCATCATCACCACCACCATATCATTCAGTCATCTCCATCGCACCACCACCAACACTGATGGCGATGGCCCAGATGTTGGTGGCATTATGAAGGTGGATGATGACGCTGAACACCTGTGATAAAGAGCTTCCTAGCTCATCGGATTCCTCCAACATCAATATTTCCGAGAATGATGGTGCTCATGGTTGAGGGCGTGTGATGGTGATGATTGGATGGTGATGATGATGATGGTGGTGTTTGATGGTAGTGATGGAGGCATGGGGTGGGGATGAATGATGACCATATTGGTCGTGGTGATTGGTTGCTGATGATGATCAATGGGTGGATGATGTTGCTCCAATGCAGATGATGGCACGATTGTGAATGGCCGTTGGTGGTGATTGTGGGTGTTAGTGGTTGTGGTTTGGGCGATAATGTTCATGTATCGGTGCTGATTGTGGTGGTTGCTGTTGATCGAGGGGCGATTGATGGTGGCCATGGGCTCGTGCATAGGAACTGCATCTGCCAGCTGATCTTGACCATTCTTCACCATTCTGGTCAGTGCGGGTTGGTGAAGGCGGGTCGCGTTGGAGTATGGTCACAGTATAAGACAATGTAGTTTAGCGCTACTGCCCTCTGCTGACATTATAAACCTACTACATTGACTCAGCCAGGCAAAGCATAGCACCTGGGTCAAAAACTCAACTATTTTACATCATAAAGGCTCTTTTTGTTTGTTAAATCGCGTAAATATGAATGTGTGTTTCAGGTGAGGCCCACGAAGTTGTATCACTTTTTCAGAAGCTGCCACAAATGAGAGCCCGTGCAGGGGGCATCATCGTCATCATCACGTGGACATCTATAGGAGCAGCCAGAAACTCCAAACGCGTGACATTCATTGTAAATGTGGAGGGATTAAACTCGTTTTAAACAAAGTTTTCATTAACAACTTCGTTGAACTCGCGGTCTTTGAGAAGTGCGTCAATGGCGCCCAAACAACCGCGTGGCGCCGGCTTCGTGTGCGAGGCGTCCACACAAAATGAGAATTACTTTAAAGTAGCGAATTCATTGATTTAATCGATGCCGATTTCGTTACAGGCACGCATTGTCACGGGATCTGAGTCCGTGTGGAAAATGTGGAATTGATTGGGCAACGGGAAGTGGATGAAGTTTTGATGACAAGATTTGACCACGACACGCAGAGGAATTAAGATGAAGTAGAAGCGTCGAAAAAGCGAAACACGGAGAAAAATCCACGCGACCACGGGGGGAGAGAGACATGGAAAGGGCGGCCATAAATGACGTCACGCGATTTTGGGCGATTTTTGACCCCCCCCCCCCCTTCGTCACACGGCGTCACAAAAAGTCAGACCCCCTCCTCAAATATGACGTCACAAAGCTGCCCCCCACCCCCCAAAAATAAAACATGCTTCAAATCGCTTTCAACTATTGTCATTGTAGTGCGTGTTTAATGTGACGCTGCACTCTGATGTTGTAGGAGAAAACATTTATTTAAAAGTCTATTTAATTAAGTAGAACGTGTTGTCTGTATTTATTTAAAGTTGCGCATTTTGATGTGACGTCACATTTCTCCCCCCCCCTCGTCACACATCGTCACACATGTCTGACCCCCCCCCAGGTGCGTGACGTCATTTATGGACGGCCCCAAACTACAAATAAACAGCAGCAGCTGATCATTGTTTTTTACCCTTCTCTCTGGCAACAACACTGACACCTTTTTTTACAAGGAGTCTTGTTTGCATAGACCACAATACCTGCAGTCGTAATGCAAACAAAAAACATAACTCTGATAATGTATGCACTGTCCTTGAAGTTGATTGGTCCACACCCGAGCTGTCTCGGGTGTGGACCAATCAACTTCAAGGACAATGCATATATTATCAGAGTTGTGTTATTTGTTTGCATTACGACTGCAGGTATTGTGGTCTATGTAAACATGACTCCTTGTAAAAAAAGGTGTCAGTTGTGTTGCCAGATAGAAGGGTAAAAAACAATGATCACATTTTGTACTGGCAAATGAGGTTCCAATGGAGCCGCAGCAGTTGTCAGGGTGGACACGGGGCACGTGTCGCCCTCCACCGCACCGGGCGACGGAGTTAACGCCTCCCTCGACCTGCACCTAGCCTGGCACAACGAGGGGCTGACTGCCGTGCCTGCCTCCAGCAGTTCACCCCATCACGCCCGGGTCTGTCCCGGAGTCTCATAGTCCACTTCCACGTGACGGCCTCGAAGTGCACCTAGCCTGGCACACAAGCGCTGTCGTCACGTGCGGAGCGGTGGCAGCGTGGTTAGCGCGGCGTTGACGTCACGGTCCATGTCAACAACGGCGTCTGGTGCTTGCAGCTGGTGGTTCTGACGTCACCCCGCACGCGCCGTGACGTCACCCTCCCAGACCGTCTTGTTGACGTCATCCTCCTGCTTTTAACGCACGTGACGTCACCTGCCGCAGTGGCGCGCGCGCGCGCGGTGGTTGTCGGGAGGAGGTTCAAACGGCACGAAGATGGCCACCGCGCGAGAAGCCCTCGGCGCGCGGTGACGACAACAAACAACCGAACAACAACAAACAACCGAACAACAACCAAACAACAGCCGAACACAACAAGTAGACGAGGGATGGCGGCGCACCACCAGCTGGTGTTCCTGGTGGAGGCCGCGTCCGCCGCGGAGGCCGCGCGCGCCGCGGTGCCGCGGCTGCTGGGAGCGCTGCGCCGGCGCCTCGGGCCGGACGCCGTGAGCTGGGGCCTGGGCCGCACGCCGCACGCCGCCTCGGCCTCCTCCTCCTCGGCCTCCTCCTCCTCGGCCTCCTCAGCCTCAGTGTCGTGTTCAGCTGCCGCGGCTTCTCTGGTCGCGTGCCGCGTGCGCGAGTTCAGAGACGTGAGCAGCCGCGCGTTGCAAGCGCTGGACGCGGAGCTGGGGGCGCTGAGCCGCGGGACTGGTGGAGGCGGTGGAGGTGGTGGCGGTGATGGAGGCGGTGATGGTGATGGAGGCGGTGATGGTGGTGGTGATGGAGGCGGTGGAGGTGGCGGTGGTGGAGGCGGTGATGGTGATGGAGGCGGTGCTGGAGGCGGTGGTGGTGGAGGCGGTGATGGAGGTGGGACTGGTGGAAGCGGTGGTGGAGGCGGTGATGGTGGTGGAGGTGGTGGAGGTGGCGGTGGGACTGGTGGAGGCGGTGATGGTGGTGGAGGTGGTGGAGGTCGTGGAGATGGAGGTGGCGTTGGGACTGGTGGAGGCGGTGATGGTGATGGAGGCGGTGGTGGAGGCGGTGATGGAGGTGGGACTGGTGGAAGCGGTGGTGGAGGCGGTGATGGTGGTGGAGGCGGTGGTGGTGGAGGCGGTGATGGAGGTGGGACTGGTGGAAGCGGTGGTGGAGGCGGTGATGGTGGTGGAGGTGGTGGAGGTGGCGGTGGGACTGGTGGAGGCGGTGATGGTGGTGGAGGTGGTGGAGGTCGTGGAGATGGAGGTGGCGTTGGGACTGTTGGAGGCGGTGCTAATGGAGGGGTTGGTGCTGTTGGCCGAGACGTTGGTGACGGCGTTGATGGAGGGGCCATTGAGGCTGCTGCGAACGCGGTGGGCAGTGCATCTGGCGGCGGGGTTGATGGTGAGTCGTGTCGTGTTTGTGGTGGAGGAGCCGCAAGAGCCGGCGCGAATGGTCGAGGCTGCCGAGTTTGTCTTGGCGGTGGCGACGGCGCGGCCGGTGGTGTGTGTGGGCCCGCTCGAGACCGTGACGAGGGCCGCAGTGGTCGCGGCTGCGTCCGGGGCTCCGACGCTGCCGGCGACTCCGCTGGGAAAGTTCCGTTCGGTGGGATCGGGCCCCTCCGTGCCGCGCTGCGAGAGGCGCTGCTCGGCTTCCCGTGGGACCGGCCTCTCATCGCTTCGCCCGTGAAGACGGCGGCGAAGAGGAGAGCGAACGGGCAGAGGCGAGACGGGGGCGACGACGAGGAGTCGGGCGAGGCCACGAATCTTCTGCTGCTGCTCGCGCCGTGTCCGCAAAGCCGCGAGGCGCTCGCCGCCTTCCTGGGGCCCGGGGTCGAGGCTCGAACGGCCCTCGGGAACCTCCTGGCCACGAGCGGAAGCATTCGGCTGCACTGGATAGACACCACGACTCTGGCGGAGGTGCGGAAACCACAACCAGCACCGTGGGCTGGGCCGGGTGGCGATCCCTTAACCCAGTGTGTGCGAGACACGTGTAGTGGCTACACTGAAACGTGTTGTTTCAGTCACCGTGCCACCGTTTCGAAATTATGAAACTCCACTACTGGATGAGGGCTTCCCTTCCGAAATAAAATAAAAGGATGTACGTGCAGCTCCACGTCAGGCCAGAGCCCGATGAACGTACTGAACAGTAATTGCAAGTGCTTCTGAATACCAAAAGTACTACTTAGTTCTCAATGTTGCTAAAACACACAGTTGAACGTGATTGTTGTTGGAATCGCCGTTTTGTGGCGTTTGTTGAGTCGGGAATCGTGTAAACGTTTCCACGACTCGTATACATTTGTTACCCCTTTGCAGGTGCTGGGCAGCCCGGACCGCGATGGTGCGGCAATGGTGGCAGAAGCCCTGAGGCCAAGCGGCAGCCTCATCCCGCTGGAGGCCCTGCTGCTGCTAGCGGGTGACGGGCACCACCAGGACGGCACGGAGACGGAGCCGGTGCCGAAACTGCTGCCGCGGAATGGTGCCGGTGGGAGCGCCGGCAAGAAAATGTGGCGACGGTGGCTCACGGCGGACACGACCTTCCCTGCGCCGGCGCTGCTGGGTCACTACCTCACCAAGGGGGGTCGCCCCGCCAAGCCGGCTGCTGCACCGCTGGTGCCGCTCGTCGTCAGAGATGGTAACCAGACCTGGGAGGGGTGTTTGCTGTTAACTTTTGATTTGTTTAACACGTAGTAGTAGTAGTAGGAGGCTTTCGCGAGCAATGCCATCCGTAATAGAGGTTTTTTGGGTTAGATCGCGTAAATATAAATGTGTCGTTAAACCCGCCACCACCCGACACAGCCAATTAATAAGGTTTAGCACGTAAACATAACATGCCAATTCGTGACTAGTTCAGCACACCGGTGTGTTGGAGAGTATAGTCACAATTCGAGTACTACGTTTCGCTGGTAATTACAACCAGCCTCATCAGGTGACAACCAAACTGTTGATTTATCGGTGGGCAGGTTACTCGGGTTGCAGGTTAACAACACTTTCATAAAAGATTATGAAATATATTCATCTGCCGCATCAACAGTACGAGCGGACCGCACACTACTTTTCGACCCAGAAATGAGAATGTTAGCAGTGTTAGCAGTGTCAAACCACGTATAGCCGAAACATCGCCCCACGGTGCCGGAAAACGTCCATCATGAAGTAAAACGTGTACAGCGACGCACGTGTTCGATCAAACACTGTTGGGCAAAGTACGACTGTATTGAAAAAGGAAGGTCCATATACATCGATGCATCTTTCCACTCCTACTCTTAACACACGGTAGAGAGAGAGAGAGCAAGAGAGAGAGACGCTTCTCCTTGTGTCCACCACAGCCGGCGGCGCCGACCGCCTTTGCTGCAGCCTGTCCTTGGTGCTCGCCACTGCCGCGTCGTCGCCCCCATCGCCCGTCCGCCTGCTCCTGCGTGGGACTGTGGAGCGGCCGGCGCTGGGCGCGGGCGGCCTGGGCGTGACACGAGCCTGGGTGGCGTGTCCTGATGGGGAGGGTAGTGCCGACGCCGCCACCGCCGGCGCTACGATGGGGGACGTGGCGTCTCGGGAGGAGTTCAGCTTCCCTGAGACGATGAGAACTCTCGCCTCGCTGGATTTACTCCTGGTGAGTTCCGTCAACATCGTCACCGTCATCATCGCCTTGTCATTGTGCATCGTCACGGAAATTCCGGTCATCCTTGTAGCAGCAAGCGGGTTTGGCTGGCCATCGAGCAAAGACGGTTACCGCATCGCGCATTTTTAGATGCGCTTCTGCGGCCATCTGGAATGCTTTTCCTATATTCGGAAGCCATTGAAGATGTGCACTTTTAAATTGTCTAGATTGACAAACTCATTTCGTGAGAACTGCTTTTTTGTGTTTAGCTTGTTGTCCTTGCCCCGCACTTCCGATTAGAACGGTTGGCTACGTACTGTGTGAAACAAGTTCTACATACATACATTCTGCCCACAGACTAACACTACTCGTAGACTCAACACTGCACCTCCGATTAGCACGGTTTGCTACGTACGGTACAAGAGAAGTTCATAATACATATACAGGCAATCCCCGGGTTACGGAAGTGTTAGGTTTCCATGAAATATCCATAACCCGAATTGTCTGCATTTTGGAAACTGAACAACTTCTCCCAAAAATCAAGATAAAAAGCTGTATCTGGAAATAGTTGTGCCTCTACTGTTTTATCTCAGTAATGCATCGTGCTGTATCGTATCGCTGTACATACGCTCTGCACTTCCTAGGATTCTTTAATTTGATCGAATATCGACCCTAATACTACCCATAATTAAACTAATGGAACACGGAGCGAGCGAGCCAGTGAGCGGAGCGAGTGCTGGATCTCTCTCTCCCTATGGGTCGTGTCTCCCAGGTGGTGGAGGTGCTCATGACGGGGTGCGCTGTGCCTGCGCTCGGCCTGCTCTACCCAGCCACCCCCACTGCGGCGCTGCTCTGCCTCATCCGGTGCGACCGCACGCTGAGCCCGCAGCACGGACACTCCCAGCGGCAGGAGCGGCAGGGGGACGTTCCACCCATCCCCCCGTTCCAGCCTGACGCCCGTGGGGAAGAGTCGCTCCTCGGCTGCCTCGAGCGAGCGGGCGGCGGTTCGCAGCCCGACTGGAGGACGTTTCTCTCGGCTGGTACGAGCGGCGGTATTTTGATAACCTTGTTGGTTTTGTTGTCTCTTTCTCCGACTGCACTTCCAGTTGTCCTGTCGGTGTCGCGTCGCGAGGCGGAGAGCCCGACGTGGAACTCACGCGGGGTTCTGCAACCCTCCGTGTTAGAGAGCGGCCCCGTGGTAGCGGATATCACGGAGATACCTCAAGTTTATAACTATATTTAACATTGTGGTTTTTATGCATAGTCATCAGTAACCAGGTTTAAAAGCTCACTACGTAGCCAACTGTGCTAATGGGAGGTGCAGTGTTGAGTCTGTGGGTAGTGTTGAGTCTATGGGCAGTGTTAGTCTATGGGCAGTGTTGAGTCTATGGGCAGTGTTAGTCTATGGGCAGTGTTGAGTCTATGGGTAGTGTTGAGTCTATGGGTAGTGTTGAGTCAATGGGTAGTGTTAGTCTATGGGCAGTGTTGAGTCTATGGGCAGTGTTGAGTCTATGGGTAGTGTTGAGTCTATGGGCAGTGTTGAGTCTGTGGGCAGTGTTGAGTCTAAGGGCAGTGTTGAGTCTATGGGCAGTGTTGAGTCTATGGGCAGTGTTGAGTCTATGGGCAGTGTTGAGTCTATGGGTAGTGTTGAGTCTATGGGCAGTGTTGAGTCTATGGGTAGTGTTGAGTCTATGGGTAGTGTTGAGTCTATGGGTAGTGTTAGTTTTTGGGCAGTGTATATGTATGTTGAACTTCTTTCGCATCGTATATAGCCAACCGTGCTAATCAGAGGTGACGGGGGAAGGACAACAAACTAAAACACAAAAAGCAGTTTGAAAGAAATTAGTTTTCAATTGAGACTTGAGAACCCAGTTTAATCACAGCTCAAAAACTGGTGAAACCCAGAGCTTCAATTCGCCTGGGTCTGACATTGTCAGTCTGTGTGAATCTGCGGGGTCCCTAGGCGAGTCTGTGGGGTTTCTCTGTTAGTCGACGGTGACCGGGCTGAGACCATCATCTCACTGCGCTTGATACCCCGGTGTAATCGCTGTGGTAAGGCGGCTGAAAACCCGGGTTTGTATCCCGGCAGTTGTCGGTGCTGCTCTGTGCCATGGTGTTGCCGTAGCGCCACGGTGGCTGGAAGATGTTAACTACCTCGCCTGGTATACATGCGGTCGTGGGTTCGATCCCGACGGTGACGCCTGCTCTATATTTGGAGTTTGCGAGTCTCCCTCCCTGTGGTGGCGTGGATTTTTCTGCGGGTCCTCCGGTTTTTCCCTCCATGTTTAGAATCAAAATGATGAGTTAAGAGTATTTGGCTTCTATAAATATCCACATGATAAGCCACTTTCGTTTAGCTATCATAGCCAGGGTCGCTTACCTGGTAAAGTAAAACATTGTTTATGATGAGTTAATTCCACAGTTCGCCTCCGGTGTCCGACTCTGTCTGCGTGACTGCGTGTGTGTCGGTGCGGGATAACATGTATACTCTCGTCTATATTTCCTTTTGCGCGTCCGTGTTTCTGACTCAGCCACTGACCCCGAGCCTGGGTTGCCAGACTTCTTTGCGGGAGAAGCAGTGGGCGGTGGTGGAGGCGGTGGCGCTTGCGTGGTGGAGGAGCGCTACCCGGAGCTCGCGGGGGCCAGCGCGGCACTGGCGCAGGCGTGCCGGTGAGTGGCCGGCCATCTCGCGCCAGACGGTGCTGGGTTCTGTTCCGTGACCGCCTGTCAGCAGCGTGCCTTTCGACACTTTCACTTGGCCTCGAAGCACGCCGTAGTAACGTCACCGTCACTTCGTGCCAAATGGCGGGTGTTGGCGTTGGTAACAGTGGCAGTTAGCGATGGGCGACCGGTGAACCGGGTAATTAATGGTGCGTTGATTTGCGGTTGTGATTATTTAACGCGTAGCCATCCCGTCGTGTTTTCAGGTTGCGTGACGCGCCCATGTGCGCCGTGTGCGTCCTCGCCGTCGCGTGGAGTCAGACTTTCGCCGCGCGTTCCCTTGCAGGTCCCTCGCGGTGGCGGAGGAGGCTGCGGGAGGTGTTCCCGCGCGTGGCGATGGCGGCCGCTCCGACCCGGGCAGCGCCGAACTCGCGCTGATGCTCGGCGCGCTGTACAGCTCGGCGTGCGAGGAGGAGGGGCAGGGCGCGTTTGAGCGGCGTGAGGAGCAGGGTGAGCGCGAGAGATCTGCATGGCGGCCGTACACCCAGCAGAACGTTTGTCCTGCGAGGTGGAGTCCGCTCTCTGGCTTCTCGCTCTTCCCATCGTGTTCGATCCTCTGCAGTGACGCCGTGTGCAGGATGGGAGCAACTGTCGTAACGCGTATTGTTAGTTCTTCTTGGTTCTTTCGGTAAAGCCACGTAGAAGGGAAGTAATAAAAATAATAAAAATAAAACATGTCTATAATAAATATTGTTAGTTGTCAAGCGGGTGACAATGCATCGATACGTCAATTCAAACTTGACTCTCACGCTCACGATGTAATGTGTTGATTCGTACCAAGGTGTTCAAAGTGTGCCGGCGCATGTCCTGGCACCACATGCGTGCACTGCCCATCCACTCCGTACTGCACCTCCGATTAGTACGGTTGGCCACGTACGGTGTGAAAGAAGTTCAATATACATACTGCCCATAGACTCAACACTATCCATAGACTCAGCACTGCCCATAGACTCAGCACTACCCATAGACTCAACACTGCCCATAGACTCAACACTGCCCATAGACTCAACACTACCCATAGACTCAACACTACCCATAGACTCAGCACTGCCCATAGACTCAGCACTACCCATAGACTCAACACTGCCCATAGACTCAACACTGCCCATAGACTCAGAACTACCCATAGACTCAACACTGCCCATAGACTCAGCACTGCCCATATACTCAGCACTGCCCATAGACTCAGCACTGCCCATAGACTCAACACTGCCCATAGACTCAACACTGCACCTCCAATTAGCATGGTTGTCTACGTACGGTACGAAAGAACTTCATGGTACGCACGTACGCACATTGTCCGACTGCAGGTAAGGTGCGCACGCCGGTGCGGCAGAAGCTGAAGACGCAGAACCGCGCGCTGCAGATGGTGAACGTCGCTCGGATCAACGTGCGCTCCCAGCGCTGCCGGGTCGATGCCGACGACGCCGCCGTCCCCCCCACGGGCTGCCGCCGCCGCTCCGGCAAGAAGCCGGCGCTCTCCAGGAAGGAGCTCGGTGAGGGATCGCCCTCTCTGCTGGGTGGACGCACGAGGGTGTGGTTTTCTGCGAGGGCGCGAGAGAGAGAGATCGGTACGCACGCGCGTGTGCATGTGGACCCTGTCGCGCGTTTACCAGCGACCACGGGGAGAACACGCAAACTCCAAATATACAACAGCAGGCGTCAGGGCCGGGATCGAACCCACGACCTCCTGTATACCAGGCAAGATTGCCAACATCTCCTAGCCACCCGTCTTCCAACTAACTCGGGTCAACCTCAGTCGCGCAGGCGTTGCAAATGTGACAACACGGCGCTAACGTGACAGCGCGGAGAGATGTTTCGTCTATAATTTTCACGAGTGTGGTGACTGCGGCAGCGCAGGTGCGTGTGCTTTGCTTCACCTAACCTCACGACTCGCCCCCGCCGGGTGTAGATTTTGAGGACGAGGACGCGATGGCGTCTCGCCTGAGCCAGGACTACGTGCTGCACGTCGCTGACGAGGGCCGGGCGCTGCCGGCGTTCGCCAGCAGCGCCGTCGCCATCGTGTGCCGCTTCCTCAAGGCCCAGGGCTCAAGCGACATCGAGGTTGGGCGCTCGCACAACGACGAGGGGGAGATTGTGCGGCGGCGGCGCAGCCATCTTGCCGCTTCACCGCTCCTGGCACCGCGGGGTTTGTTTAGAGAAATGGATGTTGGTGTCGGTGTCCCAGGCAGCAGTAACAGTTTGTGAGCATCAGGGCCTGCAGAGGCACTGGTGGTGGAAATTCCACGTTCCTATGGCGGGGGGGCAAGTCTGTCCATAGGACAACCGTCGGTGACTTCGTCATCGCGTCATGATCATTGTCATCATTATCGTAATCATCATCCTCATCGTCATCATCATCCTCATCTGTCCCGTGACCTTCTGCTAGCAGGCGTTCAACACTTAACTTGTCCTTAAGGTGCACATAGCCTGGCACAAGCGTCGTGGTGCCGTCACCGCCACTTAGTGGGGAATTGGGTTGATGTATGTATGTATGTACGTATGTTTATCTTTTTTCGCACCGTGCATAGCCAACCGTGCTATTCAGAGGTGCGGGGGGGAAAGACAACAACACGAAGCGCCGCGCGATGCACAGTGACCCGTCTTCGTTGCAACGACTAGCCAAAAGCCGCCGCTGCTGCCGCCGCCGCCGCCGTGAGACTGACCGGAGTTTGCGTGACGATTGGCGGTACCGGCTGCGGCGCGACGTGTGATTTGGCCGCGGCGCTCTCTCTCTCTCGCTCAGCGCCGGTGTGCCACTCTGCTGCGGGACAAGCTGCTGCGCGACGGGCGGCAGCTCCGGCAGCGGCGCTCGGGGGGCGGCGACGACGACGACCGCGACGGTGTCAGCAGCAGCCCGCGGTCGCGCACCCGAGAGTAAGGAGACTGTCAACTATTCTTTATTTTACCAGGTGTAAGGCTCCCTTTCAAGAGCAACCTGCCCATCACAAGCGATAGCCCAACGAAAGTGGACTTGGCATCATCATCATCACGTGGACATTTAGACTGGCAGCCCAATGCTCTTAAACACGTGATGTTGTATTCTAAATGTGGAGGCGAAAAAGCGGAGGACCCGGAGAAAAATAACACGCAACCACAGGGAGAAAGAGACACGCAAACTCCAAATATACAGCAGCAGGCGTCAGCCTCGGGATTGAAGCCACGACCTCCTGTACACCAGGCGAGGTCGTTAACCTCTCACCACGGTGGCACAAGGACACCGGTGCAGGGTGGCGTTTTGCCCATCATCCAGTCAGTTGTGTGTGTGTGCGCAAGTCATTGAGGTACTCGGTGAGTCGGCGTGCCAACCAGAGTCTGTGTGCACTCTCCACTCCAGCAACTCTCTGTCTGTTGAAGCCATGACTCGACGTGCACTCGGGGTGGGGGGGGGGAGATCGCTCGTTCTTCCCTGCTGCCCCATCTGTCCCCTGGATCCCAGTTCTGGATCAATTTCAAGATCACACCACCTTCACGGGCCTCCTTGGACGCACTCCAGCCGACCTCTCATCTCACTCCACTCCCCTCCACGCACTTTCCTGCCTCTCCCCTCTCATCTCACTCTACTCCCCTCCACGCACTCTCCTGCCTCTCATCTCACTCCACTCCCCTCCACGCACTCTCCTGCCTCTCCCCTCTCATCTCACTCTACTCCCCTCCACGCACTCTCCTGCCTCTCCCCTCTCATCTCACTCTACTCCCCTCCACGCACTCTCCTGCCTCTCCCCTCTCGTCTCGCTCTACTCTCCTCCACGCATTCTCCTGCCTATTCGCTCTCATCTCACTCCACTCCCCTCCACACACACTCTCCTGCCTCTCATCTCACTCTACTCCCCTCCACGCACTCTCCTACCTCTCCCTCTCGTCTCGCTCCACTCCCCTCCACGCACTCTCCTGCCTCTCCCCTCTCGTCTCGCTCCACTCCCCTCCACGCACTCTCCTGCCTCTCCCCTCTCATCTCACTCTACTCCCCTCCACGCACTCTCCTGCCTCTCCCCTCTCATCTCACTCTACTCCCCTCCACGCACTCTCCTGCCTCTCCCCTCTCATCTCACTCCACTCCCCTCCACGCACTCTCCTGCCTCTCCCCTCTCATCTCACTCTACTCCCCTCCACTCACTCTCCTGCCTCTCCCCTCTCATCTCACTCTACTCCCCTCCACGCACTCTCCTGCTTCTCCCCTCTCATCTCACTCTACTCCCCTCCACGCACTCTCCTGCCTCTCCCCTCTCATCTCACTCTACTCCCCTCCACTCACTCTCCTGCCTCTCCCCTCTCATCTCACTCCACTCCCCTCCACGCACTCTCCTGCCTCTCCCCTCTCATCTCACTCTACTCCCCTCCACTCACTCTCCTGCCTCTCCCCTCTCATCTCACTCCACTCCCCTCCACGCACTCTCCTGCTTCTCCCCTCTCATCTCACTCTACTCCCCTCCACTCACTCTCCTGCCTCTCCCCTCTCATCTCACTCTACTCCCCTCCACTCACTCTCCTGCCTCTCCCCTCTCGTCTCACTCTACTCTCCTCCACGCACTCTCCTGCCTCTTCCCTCTCATCTCACTCCACTCCCCTCCACACACTCTCCTGCCTCTCCCCTCTCATCTCACTCTAATCCCCTCCACGCGCTCTCCTGCTTCTCCCCTCTCATCTCGCTCTACTCCCCTCCACTCACTCTCCTGCCTCTCCCCTCTCGTCTCACTCTACTCTCCTCCACGCACTCTCCTGCTTCTCCCCTCTCATTTCGCTCAACTCCACGCATGCTCTGCTCCAGCAACCCAGCACTCCTTAGAACCTGGGTTTGAGTCCAGATCTTAGCCGAGTCACCAATTACTGCACAAAAAAAACTCGCCATTCAATGTGAGGATTACTATCCAAAGTACTGCTGTGCTTCTGAATGGGTAGATAAATTGTGATTGTTTCTTCAAATCACAACTATATTGGCTGTGCTGGGTGAGGTGTATTTAGGACACGCATTTTACTGATACGATCTGACCCAAAAATAAACTATGAATCAAGATTTTACTTGGTTCTGTGCTTTACTTAGCAAAATTACTATTCAGTTTGACTGTCACGATTAATTTTAGCCTCGTATGCAGAGTGGGTGGGAAAGTGTTGCCTCCTGCCATGCGGGGCGGAGGTCACTTGAAGGTGGCCCCTTGACTTCCACTTTGGCGGCGGTTCTCGTAGCACGGCAGAGAGGCACGCTGCTGTGCGAGAGTTCCCGACAGATTGCTCGTTCTTGCGAAGACGGTGCGATTGGGCTCTGAGCCATCTCGTGTCCCCTCCCAGGTGCTGCCTGCAGTCACTGCTGCGCCTCGAAATGCAGGCGCAGTTCCGCTCCCTCGAGTGCGACGACGACAACATTGTGGACGAGGTAACGACGCACCTGTGTTGTAGCGTAAGTCTCTGTGTTGTAGAGTAAGTCTCTGTGTTGTAGCGTAAGTCTCTGTGTTGTAGAGTAAGTCTCTGTGTTGTAGTGTAAGTCTCTGTGTTGTAGTGTAAGTCTGCGTGTTGTAGCGTAAGTCTCTGTGTTGTAGTGTAAGTCTCTGTGTTGTAGCGTAAGTCTCTGTGTTGTAGTGTAAGTCTCTGTGTTGTAGTGTAAGTCTCTGTGTTGTAGTGTAAGTCTCTGTGTTGTAGTGTAAGTCTCTGTGTTGTAGTGTAAGTCTCTGTGTTGTAGTGTAAGTCTCTGTGTTGTAGTGTAAGTCTCTGTGTTGTAGTGTAAGTCTGTGTGTTGTAGTGTAAGTCTCTGTGTTGTAGTGTAAGTCTCTGTGTTGTAGAGTAAGTCTCTGTGTTGTAGTGTATGTCTCTGTGTTGTAGAGTAAGTCTGTGTTGTAGTGTAAGTCTCTGTGTTGTAGAGTAAGTCTCTGTGTTGTAGTGTATGTCTCTGTGTTGTAGAGTAAGTCTCTGTGTTGTAGAGTAAGTCTCTGTGTTGTAGAGTAAGTCTCTGTGTTGTAGTGTATGTCTCTGTGTTGTAGAGTAAGTCTCTGTGTTGTAGTGTATGTCTCTGTGTTGTAGAGTAAGTCTCTGTGTTGTAGAGTAAGTCTCTGTGTTGTAGTGTAAGTCTCTGTGTTGTAGAGTAAGTCTCTGTGTTGTAGAGTAAGTCTCTGTGTTGTAGAGTAAGTCTCTGTGTTGTAGTGTAAGTCTCTGTGTTGTAGTGTAAGTCTCAGTGTTGTAGTGTAAGTCTCTGTGTTGTAGAGTAAGTCTCTGTGTTGTAGAGTAAGTCTGTGTTGTAGTGTAAGTCTCTGTGTTGTAGAGTAAGTCTCTGTGTTGTAGTGTAAGTCTCTGTGTTGTAGTGTAAGTCTCTGTGTTGTAGTGTAAGTCTCTGTGTTGTAGAGTAAGTCTCTGTGTTGTAGTGTAAGTCTCTGTGTTGTAGTGTATGTCTCTGTGTTGTAGAGTAAGTCTCTGTGTTGTAGTGTATGTCTCTGTGTTGTAGAGTAAGTCTCTGTGTTGTAGTGTAAGTCTCTGTGTTGTAGTGTAAGTCTCTGTGTTGTAGTGTATGTCTCTGTGTTGTAGAGTAAGTCTCTGTGTTGTAGTGTAAGTCTCTGTGTTGTAGAGTAAGTCTCTGTGTTGTAGTGTAAGTCTCTGTGTTGTAGTGTAAGTCTCTGTGTTGTAGTGTAAGTCTCTGTGTTGTAGAGTAAGTCTCTGTGTTGTAGTGTATGTCTCTGTGTTGTAGTGTAAGTCTCTGTGTTGTAGTGTAAGTCTCTGTGTTGTAGTGTAAGTCTGTGTTGTAGTGTAAGTCTCTGTGTTGTAGCGTAAGTCTCTGTGTTGTAGAGTAAGTCTGTGTTGTAGAGTAAGTCTGTGTTGTAGTGTAAGTCTGTGTTGTAGTGTAAGTCTCTGTGTTGTAGAGTAAGTCTGTGTTGTAGTGTAAGTCTCTGTGTTGTAGAGTAAGTCTGTGTTGTAGAGTAAGTCTCTGTGTTGTAGTGTAAGTCTGTGTTGTAGTGTAAGTCTGTGTTGTAGTGTAAGTCTCTGTGTAGTAGAGTAAGTCTCTGTGTTGTAGAGTAAGTCTCTGTGTTGTAGAGTAAGTCTGTGTTGTAGTGTAAGTCTCTGTGTTGTAGTGTAAGTCTCTGTGTTGTAGAGTAAGTCTCTGTGTTGTAGTGTAAGTCTGTGTTGTAGTGTAAGTCTCTGTGTTGTAGAGTAAGTCTCTGTGTTGTAGAGTAAGTCTCTGTGTTGTAGTGTAAGTCTCTGTGTTGTAGAGTAAGTCTCTGTGTTGTAGTGTAAGTCTCTGTGTTGTAGTGTAAGTCTCTGTGTTGTAGTGTAAGTCTCTGTGTTGTAGCGTAAGTCTCTGTGTTGTAGAGTAAGTCTCTGTGTTGTAGAGTAAGTCTGTGTTGTAGTGTAAGTCTCTGTGTTGTAGTGTAAGTCTCTGTGTTGTAGCGTAAGTCTCTGTGTTGTAGAGTAAGTCTGTGTGTTGTAGAGTAAGTCTGTGTTGTAGTGTAAGTCTCTGTGTTGTAGTGTAAGTCTCTGTGTTGTAGCGTAAGTCTCTGTGTTGTAGCGTAAGTCTCTGTGTTGTAGAGTAAGTCTCTGTGTTGTAGAGTAAGTCTCTGTGTTGTAGAGTAAGTCTCTGTGTTGTAGTGTAAGTCTCTGTGTTGTAGCGTAAGTCTCTGTGTTGTAGCGTAAGTCTCTGTGTTGTAGCGTAAGTCTCTGTGTTGTAGAGTAAGTCTGTGTGTTGTAGAGTAAGTCTCAGTGTTGTAGTGTAAGTCTCAGTGTTGTAGAGTAAGTCTCTGTGTTGTAGTGTAAGTCTCTGTGTTGTAGTGTAAGTCTCTGTGTTGTAGTGTAAGTCTCTGTGTTGTAGCGTAAGTCTCTGTGTTGTAGAGTAAGTCTCTGTGTTGTAGCGTAAGTCTCTGTGTTGTAGCGTAAGTCTCTGTGTTGTAGTGTAAGTCTCTGTGTTGTAGAGTAAGTCTCTGTGTTGTAGTGTAAGTCTCTGTGTTGTAGTGTAAGTCTCTGTGTTGTAGTGTAAGTCTCTGTGTTGTAGTGTAAGTCTCTGTGTTGTAGTGTAAGTCTCAGTGTTGTAGAGTAAGTCTCTGTGTTGTAGAGTAAGTCTGTGTGTTGTAGAGTAAGTCTGTGTTGTAGTGTAAGTCTCTGTGTTGTAGTGTAAGTCTCTGTGTTGTAGCGTAAGTCTCTGTGTTGTAGCGTAAGTCTCTGTGTTGTAGAGTAAGTCTCTGTGTTGTAGAGTAAGTCTCTGTGTTGTAGAGTAAGTCTCTGTGTTGTAGTGTAAGTCTCTGTGTTGTAGCGTAAGTCTCTGTGTTGTAGCGTAAGTCTCTGTGTTGTAGCGTAAGTCTCTGTGTTGTAGAGTAAGTCTGTGTGTTGTAGAGTAAGTCTCAGTGTTGTAGTGTAAGTCTCAGTGTTGTAGAGTAAGTCTCTGTGTTGTAGAGTAAGTCTCTGTGTTGTAGCGTAAGTCTCTGTGTTGTAGCGTAAGTCTCTGTGTTGTAGAGTAAGTCTGTGTGTTGTAGAGTAAGTCTCAGTGTTGTAGAGTAAGTCTCTGTGTTGTAGCGTAAGTCTCTGTGTTGTAGCGTAAGTCTCTGTGTTGTAGCGTAAGTCTCTGTGTTGTAGAGTAAGTCTGTGTGTTGTAGAGTAAGTCTCAGTGTTGTAGTGTAAGTCTCTGTGTTGTAGTGTAAGTCTCTGTGTTGTAGAGTAAGTCTCAGTGTTGTAGAGTAAGTCTCAGTGTTGTAGTGTAAGTCTCTGTGTTGTAGAGTAAGTCTCAGTGTTGTAGTGTAAGTCTCTGTGTTGTAGTGTAAGTCTCTGTGTTGTAGTGTAAGTCTCTGTGTTGTAGTGTAAGTCTCAGTGTTTTAGAGTAAGTCTCAGTGTTGTAGAGTAAGTCTCTGTGTTGTAGCGTAAGTCTCAGTGTTGTAGAGTAAGTCTCAGTGTTGTAGTGTAAGTCTCTGTGTTGTAGAGTAAGTCTCAGTGTTGTAGTGTAAGTCTCAGTGTTGTAGTGTAAGTCTCTGTGTTGTAGTGTAAGTCTCTGTGTTGTAGCGTAAGTCTCTGTGTTGTAGTGTAAGTCTCTGTGTTGTAGCGTAAGTCTCTGTGTTGTAGAGTAAGTCTCAGTGTTGTAGTGTAAGTCTCTGTGTTGTAGTGTAAGTCTCTGTGTTGTAGTGTAAGTCTCTGTGTTGTAGCGTAAGTCTCTGTGTTGTAGCGTAAGTCTCTGTGTTGTAGCGTAAGTCTCAGTGTTGTAGAGTAAGTCTCAGTGTTGTAGTGTAAGTCTCTGTGTTGTAGTGTAAGTCTCTGTGTTGTAGTGTAAGTCTCTGTGTTGTAGCGTAAGTCTCTGTGTTGTAGCGTAAGTCTCTGTGTTGTAGCGTAAGTCTCTGTGTTGTAGAGTAAGTCTCAGTGTTGTAGTGTAAGTCTCTGTGTTGTAGTGTAAGTCTCTGTGTTGTAGTGTAAGTCTCTGTGTTGTAGCGTAAGTCTCTGTGTTGTAGTGTAAGTCTCTGTGTTGTAGCGTAAGTCTCTGTGTTGTAGTGTAAGTCTCTGTGTTGTAGTGTAAGTCTGTGTTGTAGAGTAAGTCTCAGTGTTGTAGAGTAAGTCTCAGTGTTGTAGTGTAAGTCTCTGTGTTGTAGAGTAAGTCTCTGTGTTGTAGTGTAAGTCTCTGTGTTGTAGCGTAAGTCTCTGTGTTGTAGCGTAAGTCTCTGTGTTGTAGCGTAAGTCTCTGTGTTGTAGCGTAAGTCTCTGTGTTGTAGCGTAAGTCTCTGTGTTGTAGCGTAAGTCTCTGTGTTGTAGTGTAAGTCTCTGTGTTGTAGAGTAAGTCTCAGTGTTGTAGTGTAAGTCTCTGTGTTGTAGTGTAAGTCTCAGTGTTGTAGTGTAAGTCTCAGTGTTGTAGAGTAAGTCTCTGTGTTGTAGCGTAAGTCTCTGTGTTGTAGAGTAAGTCTCAGTGTTGTAGTGTAAGTCTCTGTGTTGTAGTGTAAGTCTCTGTGTTGTAGTGTAAGTCTCAGTGTTGTAGAGTAAGTCTCTGTGTTGTAGCGTAAGTCTCTGTGTTGTAGAGTAAGTCTCTGTGTTGTAGCGTAAGTCTCTGTGTTGTAGTGTAAGTCTCAGTGTTGTAGAGTAAGTCTCTGTGTTGTAGCGTAAGTCTCTGTGTTGTAGAGTAAGTCTCTGTGTTGTAGCGTAAGTCTCTGTGTTGTAGCGTAAGTCTCTGTGTTGTAGCGTAAGTCTCTGTGTTGTAGCGTAAGTCTCTGTGTTGTAGCGTAAGTCTCTGTGTTGTAGCGTAAGTCTCTGTGTTGTAGTGTAAGTCTCTGTGTTGTAGAGTAAGTCTCAGTGTTGTAGTGTAAGTCTCTGTGTTGTAGTGTAAGTCTCAGTGTTGTAGTGTAAGTCTCAGTGTTGTAGAGTAAGTCTCTGTGTTGTAGCGTAAGTCTCTGTGTTGTAGAGTAAGTCTCAGTGTTGTAGTGTAAGTCT